ACTTTTGCTGTGGAGTTCACTTGGATTTTTCTCTGTATGAAGAGAAACCAAACCACAGGAAAAAGCTCCGAGTTTCACCTGGTTCAGACCACAGTAAACAAAGTATATTTGTTAAACCGCAGTGCTGCAGACACGAAACACTCTTTCTAGTAAGACTCAGTTTCAGTGTCATTGTGACAAATGGATCGACTGCTCGTTACTGTCCTGTGCTCCGCCATGAGGGTGGGCTGTACTTTCAGCACCTGAATGTCAGAGGGCGAATCTCAGCTTCGGTTTTGTGTGAATTATTGTTGCTGCTGCTGATAGCTGGAGCTGAACTACGTCTGCTTTAGTTTTCAGTCTTCAGTCTCCAAAGTCTGAAGGCAGCTGTGTCAGGTGAGGAGCGACACGAGCAGCACGAAGGAGCAGCTCCCTCAGAGAAGATGGCCTGGGCGATCGGCTGAACTGGAATCAGTTTGACTTTCAGAGGCTCCTTCTTAGTGTTTTTTTAAATATGTGTGTGTGTGTGTGTGTATCTATATATATGGAGATATATGTAGTTAATGTACTTTAATAGTTTATTTTTGATGGCACTTTGGGGCTTTGCAGCGCCACGAGTTCCAGAACGTACTTGTATCTGTGACTTTTGTGTCCACAGACTCTTTCATCGTGTACGTATTCAGTCATTCAGAGCATTCTGATATCAACGTGTTGTGTTGTGGATGATGAGTCGAGGCCTTCGATCCTTGTTTGCATAAAGTCGAGCCCTGAGCTACTTTATGCAAATCAGGGGCTGCTGTGACACGACTCCTCTGGAAACTCCTGAAAATCTTTAGAATCTTTGTTGAGCTAAAGTGAAGCCAGACTCGTGGTTTATTTCTCTCCTCATATGTGCAGAAAACGTGAGCAGGTGACCTCAGACGGGTGTTTGTCCAGCCAGGTGCAGCTCAGTCATGACTGTGGAAGGAGAGAAGTGATCTCTCCTCACTGCTCCGTTAGCCCACACTACTAAACATTTACAGTCATTTTTACCTGAATGCAGCTTCGGCACATAGATCAGTTCAAACAAATATAATGTTTCTGTTTGCACACTAACATTTGGGATACGCCCAACAACTTTACACTTAGTGTTAGTGCTGAGATTAGTGACGTTTCAGGTATTTAAGCTTAAACTAAAAGATCTGTGAAGCTACCGGCTGTCATTGTTCCATGCTCGGCGTGTACCTGCACGCAGGGCTCTCGCACACTGTCAGGCTGCTGCTTGGACTGGTTTGCACGTCACACATGGAAGCTCTTTAAGAACTAATAATAGGTCAGTCATGTATAGTATTATATAAGATATAGTGGCTGCACATGCGTCGACATGCTGTAGATGCACTCGGCACAGTCCCAACACGTGGCAGGTGTTTTTCTTGCGAAACATGCAGAAAAAAAGGTTGCACAGCTGATGTACGCTGAGATGGTTCGTGGCGAGCTGACGTCAAACACACACAGCTGAGCGTCCGTCTGTCTGTCTGCGTCTGTCTGTGTGTTCAGTGATGGAGAGATCAGCTGTGAGTGGAACAGCTGATTCCTGCACTTCCTCTCTGCGAGGATAACCCCCACAGCTCGATTTCTTGGTGGATGGTGAAAAAAAGGGATTTAGTTTAGCGCACATTTGATTTAGTTTCATGACCGCACGACACTGAAACACGTTTATGTGAATGTTGTGTGTTCGTTACACGTACGTTCTTTACAGCAGTGAGGGCCCAGTGTTCCCAGTGGGTGCGGTTCGATGGAAAGAATCGCCTAACTAATCTGACAGAAAAGAAATGACAACTTAATTAAAGAATCAAGTGGACGTGAACGTGAAGAAGAAAGTTAATTTAAAAAGTAACAGTGAGAAACAGTCGGCCAGAATAGATTAAAATAGAAACGTGATGGTCGAAATGTGAATAAAGGAAAAGGATAAAGGATGTAGGTCATCGTTAGCACTGTGCTACATGCACGCTTTCACTTTCAGCTCCAGCATGACGCAGGAAGAGCTGTGAGGGCAGGATCCTGACCCCACACACGAGTCACATGTGGGAAAGACTCTCTCTCTGTCTCTCCCTCTGTCTCTCTCACTCACACACACACTCACACACACACACACACTCACACACACACACTCACACACACACACTCACACTCACACACACACACACACACACACACAC